TTTTTTTTTTCCCAGCCGTGGAACGGCGCGGCGTGTTGCAGCACACCACTGGAAAAAAAAAAAAAACAAAAAAAAAAACGAAGAGAAGCGGCCATGTGCCTGACTGAACTGCTAGAAAAAACAGCCCGAGTTTCAAACTGCTAAAACGCAGTTCCAAATGCAATTGAAACTCGGGCCCTGACTAAGGGGCTCGTTAGACACTCCTAAAAGAATCCTAAAACCTTTAGGACGAGTCCTAAAGGTTTTTTAGGATTCCTTGCATCGTCGTTACACGCAGTCCTAAGAATCATCTTTTAGGAATCGTCCTAAAAGGTCTCCCGCGGCCGGTTTTCATATGCGTATACGCAGTCGCATTTGAATTTTCGCGGACGCAGGGTAGCGCGGCGGAGGAAGGCCAGGCGACGCGTGTGACGTCAAAAAAGACGGCGGTGGCGAAGTGCACGCTGTGGGTATCCGTCTTTCGATTCCGCAACTTGTGACCAGCGGGCGCATCTTCGTGGTGGGCGCTTCTTCACCTACGTCGTGCGCGCTGCCCTGTGGAAGCGTGGAGCAGCGGGCGCGTCTTCGGCTGCGCCGTGCGTCATCTCCTGTGCCGTCGTACACGAGCGGCCGCATCTTCGGCACCAGTGTGCGTCGTCAAAGTGGCGGTTTTCAGCACCGGGCGTTTGTTTGGCGGCTGTGGCAGGCGACTAGATATGGAGAGCACGGGGTTCTTAGATATGGACGTTCACGGGTGCGGGCAGGGTCTTCGGGATGACGAAATCGAGGCAGTGGCGATGGTCGTGACTGCCGTCGTCGTGAACACGATGCGTGGTGACCGGTCCTCGTCACGCGACGCGCTGGCGGAGCTCCGCAAACGACGAGCGCTGTTGCAGCGCATTGGCGAAGCGCCAGATTGCGTGGCCACGTGCCAGGCAGTCATCCACTTGTGCGCCGCGCTGTCTTCTGGCGTTTTCCCGCGGGAGACCCCGCGCTGGTGGATTAAACGACGGACTAGCGGAACATGGGAGGACCTCCGCCTGTGTGACGACGCGACGAACGAGTACTACCGCCAAAAGTTGCGCATGTCGATGGCCATGTTCAGGCAGATCGTGGTCGCGTGCGCTGCGTACGTGGAGAAGAAGGTGACGCACTATAGGATGCCATTGTCGGTGGAGCAGGTCATCGCGTCCGCGCTGTACAGAAGAGCGTCAGGAGAGACGTACGAGAGCGGCACTTCTGCCTTCGGCATCGGGAGAGCAACTGGACTGCAGGTCGTCCGCGACGTCACTTCGGCACTGCTTCAGGCGTACCCAGACGCGATAAAGTGGCCAGTGGGCCGTAGACGCGCGCAGATTCTGCGCGCTTTCCGTGACAAGGGTTTCCCCAACTGCTTCGGTGCAATCGACTGCACACACATCTTCATTGACAAGCCCGTCGGCGCACCATCTGCCAACTACTACGACCGCAAACAGAAGTTTTCCGTGCAGGCGCAGGTGGTAGTGGATTTGGATCTGCGGATCATGGACATCCACATCGGATACCCGGGAAGCGTGCACGACGTCCGAGTCCTGCACAATTCCCAGCTGTGGAGGCGTGTACAAGCTGGCGAGCTGTTCGACGCACCTCCGGTGAGTCTGCCGCACGGAGTCGTCACGCGAGGTTACCTGCTAGGCGACAACGGTTATCCTTTTGTCTGCCCCTAGATCGTGCAGCCGTACGAAGGAATCGACAAAGGTCCTGAGGAGGAGCGGATTGACACGCAGCAGAAGGTGGCGCGGGGGTGTGTGGAGAGAACTTTCGGGCGGCTGAAGTGCATGTGGCATCTTTTCTTGCGCACCCACAAGACGAACCTGGATACCTTGCCGCAGCAATTCGTGGCAGTGTGCACTCTGCACAACATCCTCCTAGACGTCGGGATCGACTTCGATGAAAACCTGTTGTGGGAGGTGGATGAGAATGGTGTGCGTCGGAGAGTGGATTTGGGCATTGTGGGGAACGGCGCGGGCGGGCGGCAACGTTGCACGAACGTCGACGGGGACTTGTTGCGTGACGCTCTTCGAGACCGACTGGCTTTGATGTAGGAGCACTTAGACGCGTGGTGGGAATTTGGTGCGTGTGTGTGTAGGGTGTGTGTGTGTCGGGGGTGTCGAGATTGCAGACGTGGGTCGGTGCTATCAGTAGGAGGGTTCATATTTTGACGTGGTCCGTGGCCCGCGGTCGTCGTCAGCGAAGTAGCTCTGTAGAGCGGACGGATGCATGGTCGTCGGTGATGATTTCGTTTGCTGTGTTCGTCGTGTGGAGAGTTGCGTGGAAATTTTTTTGTTTGTCTCAATTTTTATGTCGTCAGTTCGTCTATCACGGTCTTTTTCGTGTGCTGTTGGTCGACCTCATACAACGATCTTTTTCGTCGGTTCGTCTGTCACGATCTTTTTTGTGAGCTTCACAAAATGATGTCCAAAACATTCATGATAGTTAGTCGACCTCATACAACGAATACAAAGCGCATTTCAGGGACGTCGTCTTCGGTTGTGTGCATGCATGTGAGGCAAACATTTTTTGATCATCCATCGCTGAGAGGATAACAACGGTGCGAAGGTGGAGGGCAGACAAACAACGAAGACTAAAGAAAAGGTGCGCTGAAAGCGCTTTCGAATTGCATGTCAATCGAACTGCGATGATAAACACAAAACACATTGCGCAGACAAACAAAGAAGAGTAAAAGAAAAGGTGCGCTGAAAGCGCTTGCGATTTGCTTGTCGACCCAACTGGGATGATAAACACAAAACACACGAGTGTCTTTAACGTACCTGTCGTCGACTACGACGACCTGCACACTACACATCTGCACTAAACGATGCACAAACGAAATCAACCAATCAACCGGGTTTCGCCGCACTGCCGACGCGCTAAGACCCCCCCCCCCCC